CAGCAGCAGCAGCAGCAGCAGCAGCAGCAGCAGCAGCAGCAGCAGCAGCAGCAGCAGCAGCAGCAGCAGCAGCAGCAGCAGCAGGGGTTTGCTTGTACCCTTGTCCGGCTTCAAGCCGGAAACTTTTGCTTCTGTGCTTATTGGCCTTTTAGTGGCAATTTGAATTGCCATAAGTTTCTCCGGAGACATGTGCAGCAGCTCGCATTGCTGCTGCGTCTTTGCTGCTGCTCGTTCGGCCCCCACCAGCTGCTGCTGCTGCTGCTGCAGCTGCTGCAGCTCCTCGCTCTCCTGCTGCTGCTGCAGCGAACGCACTGCAGCAGCAGCAGACCACCAACTCACAGGTATTTCAAACGGCACGCGCTGCAGCCGTGACCACTGGACCATTCCTTGCTGCAGCCACCCCCAGTACACGGGCCAGCCCGGAGCAGCGCTGCTGCTGCTGCTGCTGCTGCTGCTGCTGCTGCTGCTGTCGCTGCTGCTGCTGTCGCTGCTGCTGCTGCTGTCGCTGCTGCTTCTGCTCTTGCTGCTGCTCCTGCTGCCGCTGCTTAGCTTTTCATCTCCATCAGCAGATCCAGAGGTAGATGCACCACCTCCAGCAGCAGGAGAAGCAGCAGCAGCAGCACCAGCAGCAGGAGCCGCAGCAGCAGCAGCAGGAGCAGTAGCAGCAAGATACCTTGCATGCAGCTGCTCCATTGCATGCCTCTTTAATCCTTCTCTGGCGCTTCTGAGGCCAACGAGCAGCAGCTCGTCGGGGTTTGGTGCTGCAGCAGCAGCAGCAGCAGCTGCTGCTGCTGCTGCTGCTGGCCCGGGGCCTTCTGCTGCTGCTAGCCGCTGCTCGCGCCTCGCAGCAGCAGCGCCACTAAACCTCTTGGCGACGCCAGCAGCAGCAGCAGCAAGCTGCTGCTGCTGCCAAGACACAAACGCATGCAGCGCGAGCAGCTGCTGCAGCAAAGTCTTTCGCTGCTGCTGTTCTGCTGCTGTCAAATCTGGCCAACTTTGCTGCCCGCTGCGGCCGTCCCACTGGAACTCCGTTGCTGCTGTTGTTGCTGCTGCTGCTGCTGCTGCTGCGCTGCTGGGGCCCAGGCCGAAGGTGTCTGAGCCGGTCGAAGCAGCAGCAGCAGACGCCGTTGCTGCTGCTGCTTCCGTTGCTGCAGTGTCTGCTGCTGCTGCAGCAGCCCACTCCCCCACAGAGGGCGGCCGCTGCAGCTGCAGCAAAGAGCTGCCTTGAGGTCCCTTCAGCAGCAGTGCTGCTTCTGCGCGCAGCAGCAGCAGCAGCAGCTCGTAAGCAGCAGCAGACAACACGCCATTCGGGCAGGTCACCCTCCCGCTGCTGCTGCTGCTGCTGCTGCTGCTGCTGCTGCTGCTGCTGTCGCTAGCCCCCTCATTAGGAGTCGCACCAGCAGCAGCTGACGCCGCAGCCTGGGCGTCCTCTGTTGCTGCTGGCCGCTGCTCTTGCTGCTGCTGCTGCTTCTGCTGCTGCTGCTGCTGCCGGTTCTCCTGCTGCTGCTGCTGCTGCTGCTGCTTTTGCTGCTGCAGGCGCGAGGGCCCCGTGCTGTGCACCAGCAGCACCAGCTGCTGCAGCTTCTCCAGAGACACTCCAACTGCAGCAGCCCAGCTTTCCCAGCTGGTCAGCAGCAGCAAGTCCCGCTGCTGCTCCCACTGCAGCAGCAAATCTGCAGCAGCAGCAACATCTTGCTTCTCGAGCACTTCATTCACTGCAGCAGTTACGCTGTTCTCAACAGGCGCTGCATCACCTGCTGCTGCTGCTGCTGCTGCTGCTGCTGTTGCTGCTGTTGCTGCTGTTGCTGCTCTCCCCTTTGCTCTTGAAATTCTTGCTGCTGCTGCTGCTGCTGCTGGAGACGCTGCTGCAACTGCTGCTGCGCAGCAGGCCCTCCTCTGCAGCTTTAAAGCGCTCGGCGGCTGCAGATTGCGGGACAGCAGGAACGCGAGTTGCTTCTTGTTGCTGCTGCCGCTGCTGTTGCTGCTGCTGCTGCTGCTGCTGCTGCTGCTGGCCTCTGCGGCGGTTGCCCGTGGGGGAAGCCGAGCTGCCTGCTGCAGCAGCTGGCGGCCGACGTAAAGGGCTCTGGCCTTGGGGCTGCTCCAGGGTGTCCTGCAGAGGCCCTGGGGCAGCTGGGAGAGAAGAGCCAGCAGCAGCAGCAGCAGCAGCAGCAGCTGCTGCTGCTGCTGCATGCAGTGACGGCCGGGAGCTGCAGCTGCAGGCATGGCAAGCGGGAAAGGCGGCTGTCGCCGGCGCTGCATGCAGCGCGGGAGTTCAGCTTCCGTGCTGGTTCACTTCGCTGCGGTCTGGGGGTGAAACTCGCGGGAAAAGGCGCGAAAAGCCTCGGAAAATCATTGATTTATGAATTAGTTTTGAATAATATTTAATTTGGAGGAGTTCAGGAGGAGTTCCTCCCGCGAGAAGACTACTGACGGGTTAGATCGGGTCCCGGGCGCGTGATCAGCGCGCGCAGGCTTGCGGTGTCTGTACACCCGAACGGCCGCCGCATTTGCGCCATTTTTTGCCTTTTTAGCGCCTCAAGGAGATATTTCAAAAGAAATAAAAGGCAAAAAAGCGGAGAAGTTGCTTAAAGGGGGAAAGAGCTGCGCATGGGGCCGCGGCGGCGGCCGCGCGGCATGCGCGGCGTTTCCGTCGGAGGAGAGCCCGCGCTGCAGCTGAGAAGCAAAAACTTGCATTAAATTCTTCTTTTATTTGTTTAAATTGCATTTTTGTTTCTTTCTGCGGCGAAGAGCTTCGCGTTGCGGCGGGGGGGCGCGTCTCGCTGCTGCTGGCGGTCCGGAGTTCAAGTTGCGCAGCGGCGGCGCCGCGGCCGGCGATCTCGCGCTAAAAAAGCTCCTTTCTTTGTTTTTTCGAAATTATTTTGCATTAAATTGCATTTACTTTCCACTTTTTGCGAAACTGCTGCAGCTTTCCGCAGCTTTCCGCCGCTTTCCGCGCCCCGCCCCCGTTCAAGTCCAGCCATGGCTGCAGCTTCGCCGCAGAAAGCTGCAGCGGGCAGCCCGCTGCAGCCCGTTGCTGCAGCGGCTCCGCAGCAGCAGCAGCAGCAGCAGCAGCAGCAGCAGCACCACCACCACCACCACCACCACCACAAGGCCAGCTGGTACAGCGAGTACCTCTTCCTGGGCTCGATCTTGTCGGGAATTTACATTTTCTTTTTGATGTTTGGATATTATCAAGAAAAGATCTACAGTTCTCGCCACCCGGAGACTGGCGAGCGCTTTTCTTACTCTTGCTTTTTGGTGTTGTCTGCATGCGTCAGCAACACGGTGTTTGCGTTTTTGCTGCTGCTGCTGCAGCACCGCCGCCGCGCGCTGCAGCTGCTGCTGCAGCTCAGCAGCAGCAGCATTCGCGAGATCTTTCTTATTTCCCTTTCTTATTCCGGATCCATGTTGTTCACTAATTATGCTTTAACTCACGTGAACTATCCAACTCAAATTTTGGTGAAGTCCGCAAAAATGGTGCCCGTCGTCGTCGGCGGCTTCGTCTTCTTCGGTGAGTCCAACTTTTTGCATTTTTGCATCATTTTGATTCAAATTTCAATTAATTAATTAATTAATTCAATTATTTATTTATTTATTTTAATTTTAATCCGAAATCCGCTTTTTTCCACTCCAAATTGCCCACTTTTGCTCCACAATTCGCGCCACTGCCACCAGCCGCTTTCAGGTGTACGTACACCTCACGGGCCGTTTTCAGGTGTACGTACACCTCATTTTCGGCTCCTCGTTTTGCTGCTGCTGCTCTTTGAAAGCCATTTTGCTGCTGCTTCGAGCCTTTCGGAGTCTTTGTTTTATTTTATTTTATTTATTTTTGTTTTTCTTCTTCTTTTAATTAATTTTATTATCATTTCTTTCGTTTTTCTGCTGCTTTTCAACAATTTCGTTTTTCACCTTTTAGAGCACCTGCAGCAGCAGCTGCCTCCCTGAGCCGCAGCAACACAACTACCAACAAACCACAATTGCTGCTGCCGCTGCTGCTGCTGCTGCTGCTGCCGCTGCTGCAGCTGCAGGAAAGACGTACCCGTGGCAGGACTACTTGTCGGTGGTGGTGGTGACGTGTTCGCTGGCCGCGTTTCAGCTGTGCAAGAGCGAGGGGAAAGCAGCAGCAGCAGCAGCAGCAGCAGCAGCAGCAGGAGAGAACTCGCTGCTGGGGCTGCTGCTGCTGTGCGGCTCGCTGCTGTGCGACGGGCTCACGGGGCCGCGGCAAGACCGCTTAGTTGCTGCTGACAAAAACATAAATTCGATTTTGCTGATGCTGGTGACGAACGGGTTTGCTGCTGCAGTGGTTGCTGCTGCTGCTGCTGCAGCAGAAGGCGCGGCCCCGCTGCTGTTCCTGCAGCAGCAGCAAGAAGCAGCAGCACATCTCTTTGCCTTTTGCGTCTGCGGCTCTTTGGGGCAGCTTTTCATTTACCAGAGCTTGACGCACTTCGGGTGTCTGTACACCTCGCTCTTCACCACCATTCGCAAAGCGGCTTCCACTGTCTTTTCAGTTTATGTTTTTAATCACAAATTAAATGCCATTCAGTGGACAGCTTTTGCTGCCATGTTTGCTGCAGTGCTGCTGCAGTCCTACGTCACCAAGCGCAGCAAACTGCGCCACCAACGCCGCAAAAAGGAGGCCTGAGCTGCTGCTGCTGCTGCTGCTGCTGCTGCTGCTGCTGCGCTGCAGCAGCACGCGACGCGCCTGCTGCAGCAGCGGCGCCGCTCAAGCTGCTGCGGCAGCAAAGCAGCAGCAGCGCTGCAGCCGGCCTGCTGCTGCAGCAGCGCCGCTCCAGCTGCTGCTGCAGCGAAGCAGCAGCAGCGCTGCAGCGGGCCTGCTGCTGCAGCAGCACGCCTGCTGCTGCGCTGCGCTGCAACTGCCCTGCTGCTGCCAAGCAGCAGCAGCAGCAGCAGCGCAGCAGGCCTGCTGCTGCGCTGCGCTGCGCTGCTGCGGCGCTGCTGCTTCGGAGCAGCAGCAGCAGCGCAGCAGGGCTGCTGCTGCGCTGCGCTGCTGCAGCGCTGCAGCACCGCAGCGCCGCATTTCTTGCTTCTTTTCCTTTAGAACATTTAGTGTTATTATTATTATTTGTTATTATTATTAATTATTATTAATTATTATTATTATTTATTATTATTTATTATTAATTGTTTTTATTTGCTGCTCATTATTTTTATTATTTGTTTGCTGCTCAAACACTTCTTTCCTTCTTTTCCGGTGGCAGACATGCCCTGCTGCTGCTGCTGCTGCTGCTGCTGCTGTTGCTGCTGCTGCTGCTGCTGCTGCTGCTGCTGCTGTTGCTGCTGCTGCTGCTGCTGCTGCTGCTGCTGCGCTGCCTGGTCCTTCCCTTTAGCTGCAGCTCATTTTTTGTTTCGTCGGAATTCATTTGTCAAATAATTTATAATTTTATTTATTTATTTATTTTAATTATTTTATACTTTTATTTATTTATTTCTTATTTCATTCAGTATTACTATTAAATACTAGTAAAATTAAAATATTTAATTAAAAAAAAACTAAATTATAAATTCTTAAAAGAAATAAATAAATAGAATTATAAAATTATTATTTAATAATAATTTACTATTTCTTCTCCAATGACTTATTTTTTTATTTTTTATTTATTTTTATTTTTATTTTTGTTTTTCAATTTAATTTCATTTTTTAATTTGCATTCTTTTCTGTTTGTTATTTGCCAGTCCTCACCAGTTGGTTATTTTTTATTTTCCAATTTATTTTTTGTTTTATTTTTATTTATTATTACTTTTATTATTATTATTACTATTATTATTAATTATTATTATTGTTATTTATTATTATTGCTATTATTGTTATTAATTATTATTCCTACTGTTATTTATTATCATTATTATTATTATTATTATTATTATTATTATTATTATTATTATTATTATTATTATTATA